CATTCTCCAAACAGTGAAATTGCAGAGACAGAGAGCAGATTTGTGGTTAGGGATCGTTGGGGGAGGCGGTGGGTGTGACTATGAAGCAGCCACAAGCAAGATCTCTGTGGCGATGGGACCCTTCTGTATCTTGATTGTGGTGGTGGTGACATGAAGCTACATAGCGGATAAAATAACACAGAGCTGGCCGGGCGCGGTGGCTCACGCCTGTAATCCTAGCACTCTGGGAGGCCGAGGAGGGTGGACTGCTTGAGCTTAGGAGTTTGAGGCCAGCCTCAAGAGCAAGACCCCATCTCTACTAAAAATAGAAAAACTAGCTGGGCATTGTGGTGGGCACCTGCAGTCCCAGCTACTCGGGAGGCTGAGGTAAGAGGATCGCTTGAACCCAGGAGTTGGAGGTTGCTATGAGCCATGACACCATGGCACTCTACCTAGGGCGACATAGTGAGGCTAAGTCTCAATAAATAAATAAATAACATAGAACTTGGCACACATGTGAACAAGGCCTGCAGATGACCCTACCAAGGTGCCACGTCAATTGTCTTCTGCTCTTATTTTTGTTCCTATTATCACCGGGAGCAGCCTCTCTCTGCAACTGGGTCTCATCCCTGGTACTCACACTCTTTTTTTTTTTTTTAGACAGAGCCTCAAACTGTCCCCCTGGTAGAGTGCTGTGCCATCACAGCTCACAGCAACCTCCAACTCCTGGGCTCAAGCAAGTCTCCTGCCTCAGCCTCCCAGGTAGCTGGGACCACAGGCGCCCGCCACAACACCTGGCTATTTTTTTGGTTGCAGCCGTCATTGTTGTTTGGCGGGTCAGGGTGGATTCAAACCCACCACCTTAGGTGTATGTGGCTGGCGCCTTAGCTGCTTGAGCCACAGGCACCAAGCCGGTACTCACACTCTTGAAATGACTTTTTTCTAACTGGAACAACGTGGCAGAGCTGGTGGGTGTCACTCCTGTGATGACGTCATGTTGTGAGACCCTAGCAGACTCACTCTGGCATCTTTCTGGCTTTGAAGACGTGATCTGGCATGAGCTGCCAAGAGCTGAATTCTGCCAACAGCCTCAGCGAGCAGGCTCTGATCGATACCTGGGCTTTAGGTAACTACAGTGCTCCTGGAGTTATTATTTGCCCATTAATGTCCATTTTAAACCACAGAGTGTAGCAACATTAAAATTTGAATTTATGCTGTATAGCAGAGCTGAGTAACTTTAAGAAATCGCTTGTAAGCTGACATCTAAAGTATTTTAGCGTGAAAATCATGGATGGAATTGACTAGGTTGAGGAAATGTTATTTTCTAGGCAAATCTGGTCTGCAAAGCATTGTTTACTATTTTCGAACTGGTAAATCCAAATTAACGGCAGATGTTGTTCTAATTTATATATTGGTCAACTTGCTGCAAAGAGTTTTGGCATTTTGCCCTTTTCTGGAATCCCCATCCTTTCAGAACTATACAGAAGAGTAAGAGCTATACAAGTTACATTTTTGTCTATCCCAGAAATATGGTATGTTTGGGAAGATCACAGTTGAATACCACTGTAGCTAATGAACACTTTGCCTGGCTGTTAGCATGTAAATAAGATTAGCATAAACTAGGGGTTGGCAAACTTTTCCTGTAAAAGGCTAGTTAGTAAATATTTTCAGCTCTGTGGGTCATCTCAAGTTCTGTTGCTATTTAGCCAGCTTTGCTTTTTGTTGAAAGCAACCATAGATAATAGGTAAGTTAATGGACGGGGCTGTGTTTCAATTAAAATTTATGCATGCTGAAGTTTGAATTTTATGTCATTCTCATTCATGAAATAACTTTTGATTTTTTTTTTTTTTTTTGCAGTTTTTGGCCGGGGCTGGGTTTGAACCCACCACCTCTGGCCCATGTGGCTGGCGCCCTACTCCTTTGAGCCACAGGTACCACCCACCACTTTTGATTTTTTTTGAGTGGCAAAGTCTTGCTAAGTTGTCCAGGGTGAACTAGAACTCCTGGGCTCAAGTGATCCTCCTGCCTCAGCCTCCCAAGTAGCTGAGACTACAGGTGCCACCATCACACCCAGCTTGATCTTTAACCATTAAAAAATGTAAAAAGCACTAACAGTTCATAGACCACCAGGCCTGGTGCCTCATACTTGTAATCTTAGCACTCTGGTAGGCCCAGGCAGGTAGATTTGTTGGAGCTTAGGAGTTCAAGATCACCCTGAGCAAGAGCAAGACTCCATCTCTACTAAAAATAGAAAAACCAGCTGGGCATTGTGGCAGGTGCCTATAGGCACAGCTACTCGGGAGACAGAGCAAGAGGATCACTTGAGCCCAAGACTTTGAGGTTGCTGTGAGCTATGCTGCCATGGCACTCTACCCAAGGTGACAGAGGGAGACTGTCTCAAATAAACAGAGTGGCATTGGTACTCAGTGGGTAGGGCACTGACCATATACACCGAGGCTGGTGGGTTCAAACCCAGCTCAGGCCAGCTAAACAACAGTGACAATTACAACAAAAAAAATAGCTGGGTGTTGTGGCAGGTGCCTGTAGTCCACCTACTTGGGAGGCTGAGGCAAGAGAATCTTTTAAGCCCAAGAGTTTGAGATTGCTGGGAGCTGTGATGCCATGGCACTCTACCGAGGGCAACATAGTGAGAATCTGTCTCAAATACAAACAAATAACAAAAAACCCAGCTCACAGACTGTACAAATACAGGCAGTGGGTAGGGCACCACTGGTCTAAGTATTTATAGATAAATGGAGACGATCTAAAAGCTTCCACATGTTGAATGCATAGACTTAAATGAATTTTTAAAATTATTATTATTGCTTATCTAGACTGCAGAGTGGGCTATGAAAATAGCTCTCCTGCTCTGGTTTGCTTGAAAACAGAAAGACCACAGAAGGTGAAAGGGAGTCATCTCTGCTCCTTCCGTTTTTCTCATACTGAAAAGTGAGAGTTCAGACAAAAAGTAAATTCTCTGAGGCTTTTTTTTAACCTTGACAAGAGAAGAAGAGCCCTGTCACTTCTCTCTGAGGTCTGTCTCCTACCCGTGGAGAAACTCCCCCGGGCAGAGCAGGTCCTGGAGACTTTGCTCTAACAGGGGGAAGGAGCTTCCTGTGGCTGGGAAAGGAGGCTGTAGAGAGGCAGGACGTCTCTGTCAGGAACACACAAGTTTGAAGTGAAGATAAGGGGATTTCTGGGGTTTCCCACAGTGAAATCCCCTTTGGGGGCCTGTATAAGCACGTCTATGAACCCAGGCTCACGCCTATAATCCCTATAATCCCATGCTGAGCCATGAGCATCTGATACTACAGCACTCTAGCCTGGACAACAGAGTGAGACTCTGTCTTAAATAAATATATATATAAAACCATCAGATCTGTCTAGTTGAGGGAAGATGGGTCCAGGGGGTAAGTAAGTTTGAATTCCATCAGCCATACTACCAAGCCAAAACATCTGTATTTTTTTTTTTTTTTTTTGAGACAGAGCCTCAAGCTATCCCCCTGGGCAGAGTGCCATGGCATCACGCTCACAGCAACCTCCAACTCCTGGGCTCAAGCGAGTCTCCTGCCTCAGCCTCCCAAGTAGCTGGGACCACAGGCGCCCGCCACAACGCCTGGCCATTTTTTGGTTGCAGCCATCATTGTTGTTTGGCGGGCCCGGGCTGGGGATTGGAACCCGCCACCTTAGGTGTACGTGGCTGGTGCCTTAGCCGCTTGAGCCACAGGCGCCGAGCCAACATCTGTATTTTTAATAAATATTATAAACTATGTATCAACTGATTTAGGAGCCCCTGGTTAGTTCATCTGAGGCCAAAACTTCAATGTCACTGAAAGCAGAAATTGTCTTCTTTTTTTTTTTTTTTTTTTTGAGACAGGGTCTCAAGCTTGTCACCCTGGGTAGGGTGCCGTGGTGTCATAGCTCACAGCAACCTCCAACTCAAGCTCAAGCAATCCTCTTGCCTCAGTTTTTCTATTTTTAGTAGAGACAGGGTCTTACGTTTTTGCTCAGGCTGGTCTGGAACTCGTGAGCTCAAGCATTCCACTGGCCTCGGCCTCCCAGAGTGCTGGGATTACACGTGTGAGCCACCTCTTGTGGTCTAGTTTCTCTTTTTCTTAATCCAACTATAGACATATGTAACTGCCAGGATTTTTTTTTTTTGTAACTATTACTTTTCTAGAAGATAAAGTCAGCACGTGAAATCTATATGATAGAATGAAATAAATGACTTTTTTTTTTTTTTTTGAGACAGAGCCTCAAGCTGTCACTGTGGGTTGAATGCTATGCCATCATAGCTCACAGCAACCTCCAACTCCTGGGCTCAAGCGATTCTCCTGCCTCTGCCTCCCAAGTAGCTGAGACTATAGGCACCCACCACAACACCTGGCTATTTTTGGGTTGCAGCCATCATTGTTGTTTGGCAGTCCCGGCTGGATTTGAACCCACCAGCTCAGGTGTATGTGGCTGGCGCCTTAGCTGCTTGAGCCATAGGCACCAAGCCAAGAAATGACTTTTCTAGTGGTAAGAAAATCAAATGATTCTAGAATATATCCCTCCTAATCGAATCATTTTACAAACCTATGAAATTGTCCTTTGTAATGTAACACATAAAGATAAAAATTGGTCCCTTATTTTGCACAAATAGATGCCACCAAAAACAAACAAACAAACAAAAAACCAGGGCTTTCTATGAAAGTGATATGAGTATCTTTCCCAAATTAATGTAGCCACATCATCCTATGGGGGCCATCGCACCAAGGCCACGAATGTCATCGTGTCCCTCTGTGTAGCTTTCCACACACTGCTCACCACCCGCAGCTCCAGAGGAACTGGGAAAGGCAAAAAGAAACCACAACTGCTATGGGGACTGGCCTCATGTTCATCTTTTCCTTCTAGTTAAAAAAAAAAAAAAATAAGGGTCTCAAGTGCAGGAATTCTTTCTTCAGAATAGTTTTATTAAGTTTGCATACTGTTTGTCAACACTCAAACTTTTCACTCTCCTACTTTGACACAAATTCATTCACTCAGAGTCTTCTTCTCCCCATATCTCATATATTGTAATATTATTTTGTGGATCTGCAGGTACCTCTGCGCTTTGAAGCCTGAGGTTACCGCCAGTTGCCATAGCGACTTTAAGATTCCGCACCTTGGACACGAATTTCACAAGGTCCATCTCGAGCTGGGTTAAGGTATTGAAGGCGTAGTCTTTGTTGGGAGAAGCATTTTGATTTTTCTTTAGTGGAGAGCGTAATGAACAGCCTCGAAGGCCAGGAGGAAGACTCGGCTCCTGTCAAGAAAGATATTCAAGGTGAATAATACCGTTGACTGCTGGGTTTTGTTTTTTTTTTTGAGACAGAGCCTCAAGCTGTCACACTGGGTAGAGGACTATGGCATCACGGTGCACAGCAATCTCCAACTTCTGGGCTTAAACAATTCTCTTGCCTTAGCTTCTCAAGCAGCTGGGACTACAGGTGCCTGCCACAACACCTGGCGATTTTTTGGTTGTAGTTGTCGTTGTATGGCAGGCCTGGGCTGGATTTGAACCCTCCAGTTCTGGTGTATGTGGCTGGCACCTTAGCCACTTGAGCTATAGGCGCCAAGCCTGACTGCTGTGTTTGACACAGTTCCAAGAGAGCTGGGCTCATCTAAGAGAAGATGTTTCTACATTGCTCTAGTCCAGGCATTGGCAAACTAAGGCCAAATCTGGCCCACCACTTGTTATTGTAAATAAAGCTTTATTGGAACACAACCATGCTGGTTCCTGTGCTGCTATGGCTGCTTTCATCCTACAACAGCTGAGTTAAGCAGTTGCAACAAAGACTGCATGGCTCACAAGGCTGAAAATGTTTACTATCTGGCTTTGCAGGGAAAGTTTGCCAAGCCCTGCTCTAGTCAGTTTGGGCAGCTTACCACAAAGTGTTGGGTCTAAGAGAGAACACATTGTAGTATTTCTCTCCCTTTCCCCTTTGACCTGAAAGAATTGTTTAGTCATTTCTGCTAGTTGTTACTGTGTTTCACCTTTAGCCCTTTAGTACAGGACTCATATTTTGCTGGGACAATGATGCCATTTCCATAGAGTTCCAAAATTTGTAATAAGTCAAACACTAGGACAATTTTAAAAATCAGGGACAGTGAATCTGGTTCTCTGAATAATTTTGACCCTTTAAAACAGAAAGTAATTTCTCGACTCTGTTCTCAATTTGAAAAAATTCTCTTAACAGGAAAAATTGTGAGCCAATAAATAAGCGGAAGATCATTTTCAACTGTTTGTCCCAATCTCTGTGGATTTGGGGACTATAGTCTTCACTGAGGATACATCAGAAAGCAAATTTGCCAGCTTTGCCCAGGACCACGAGGTATGTATTTTCCATTCAAACTCATCACATTTAACAGTCCTGCCCAACTAACTAAAACACCTGTTTCTCTGAGACTGCAGTGATGTGTTTATTGTACAGAAAAATCTTGCTTATTAAAAATCCTTACCTTATTCTTCTCACCATCTCCTCGAAACTTCAGTATCACATACAACATAGCGACGAAAAAAAGCCAGAGCCACTTACTCCCGAGCCAGCCCTGGGCATGCTCTGGTAGATTCTGCCGAATCCGAAAGTGGCCCCCGCAAGGCACTTTCCCCTGGGACTCTTTGGCTTTATCTCTCAGGGAGGAAAACATGAAGGCATAGCCGCAGCAGAAGCACAGAGGCAGAAACAAGAACCATTTCAGCGTCCGCATGGTGGGCAGAGGTGGGGGAGGAAATTGCTCATGGTGGGTTTGCTTGCCCTCGCAACTGGGAGACGGGCACCTAGTGTTGGGCCGTTGGTGATGTCACAGAGGGCACTGTGCTGGAGACCACCTGCCATTGTGATGACTTCTGGGTACAGGATAATGAGGTCCACAGTGCTAGCCTGGGACGAGGACTTAAAGGGAGATGGAGACATTTCCAGCAGGCAACCAAGGCAGTGAGAGGATGGGGTGGGCGAGGTTGTGGCTCTGCGGGGAGGGGACATCATCTATTTATGTTTTCACTTTTTGATTTAGACTTGTGAGCAGAGGAAAGAGGGTGCAGTGTGTCCCACCGGAGCCAAGAGCTGAGTAGAAAAGATATTAAACCACAGGCTGCAAGCTAGGAGCTACCAATGTATTTTGTTTGGCCTACATTCTTTTTTTTTTTTTTTTTAGAGACAGAGTCTCACTTTATTGTCTTTGGTAGAGTGATATAGCGTCACAGCTCACAGCAACCTCCATCTTCTGGGCTTAGGCGACCCTCTTGCCTCAGCCTTCTGAGTAGCTGGGACTATAGGCGCCCACCACAACGCCTGGCTATTTTTTTGTTGCAGTTTGGCTGGGGCTGGGTTTGAACCTGCCCTCCTCCGTATATGGGGCAGGCGCCCCACCCACTGAGCCACAGGCACCACCCTCTACATTCTTTCTAAAAATATTTTACATGTTGAAGAGAACATGGAAAAACTTAAAAATTACAGATTTCTGGCTTCCTTTAAAAAAAAAAAACTACAGATTTCTGGCTTTCTTTAGAAATGTGGAAGGTCTGGGCTGGGTGTGGTGGTTTGAGCCTATAGTGCTAGTAATCTGGGAGGCTGAGATGGGTAGATCGCTTGAGCTCAGGATTTGAGACCAGCCTGAGCGAGAGCAAGACCTCGTCTCTAAAAATAGCTGGGCGTTATGGTGGGTGCCTGTCGTCCCAGCTACTTGGGAGGCTGAAGCAAGAGAATCACTTAAGCCCAGGAGTTTGAGGTTCCTGTGAGCTATGATGCCACGGCACTCTACCCAGAGCAACAGGGTGAGACTCTGTCTCAATACACACACACATATAAAGGTAATTCCCCCACACATATACACATATGTGTGTGTGTGTGTGTGTGTGTGTGTGTGTGTGTATGGAAGGTCTGGTAGCACTGGGCTCACCCTATGGAGCCAGGTGGCAGCTGTCCCCACCTGGCGGACTTGCTGCAATCCCCAGACCTCCCTATCACTTCACACCACCTTATCACCACCTATTACTTTGACCTTACCAGAGGGTACAGTTCTGGGGTTAAGGGCATACTTTAATTAAAATTGTAAGAACAGAGAGCTTTAGAGAGAACCAGGAGACCACTCTCTATTAAATAATTATGCAGGAAGACTCTCCAGAGAAAAGACCCTGGGTAGAGCTTGAGGGATGATAAGGAGGTGGCTGGGTAAAAGGGAAGGGTGACATCTGGGCTCATGTGACGACCCGGAGAAAGAAGAAACAGCCTGTTTGACAAAGAAACCCGATGCAGGGAATAAGCCTAGGACTCCGTATATCTGAAACCATCAGTTTTTAAATGACATGAAACAAGAAATCTTGGCTAATGGGAACACCAGGAACGGACTTGTTCCCAGGGGCATCTGCAGTGCTGTCTTGCTAAGGACGGAGTACAACTTGCTAAAAAAACCATCAAGGGTCTACTGGGCACCCTCCTTGTGCCTCCAGATATGCTGAGCTCAGGGGAGCGACAAGGACATTCTAGAAGACTGTTCTGGAAAACCAAAAGGGGCCTGGTGCCACCCAAATCCCTCTCCAGGAGCAGAGCTCAGCGTGGGCTGGAGAGAGGGGGCTTCCTGCCTGACTGCTGGGCAGGGCTGCAGAGAGGTAGGTCCTAAGGAGGAAACAGGCACCATTCCTGAGCCCATGAGCCCAACCCCCGAGCCAGTGCTCCTGATTGCCCACTGGGAGCAGTGGTCCTGGACAGGACCGTGAGTTGGAGGGCACCCTGTGACCTCAGGTTGGAGGTGCATGTTTGGTATCCCTGTTTTTGGTCTGCCCATCTGGCTGCTCAGAGTGACACTGAGGGGCCCATGACCGCACCCAGCCTGTATTAAGTCAACCAGTGCTTGTGGTGTCATGATGCCGGGAGAGGCAAACAGGCTTAGTTACACGAATGGCCCCCAACAACAGCAATGCCCAGAACTTCTGTCACGCATTGACTTTTATTTGGAAACATTCACGAGTATTTAACAGTGGGAATTACCTTTTTCTCTACACTGTGTTCAAAAGTCTATGTCATTTATCAATAGAGAGGACCCATGGAGAGGCAAGTACCATGTTTCCCCCAAAATAAGAGTCTTATATTTATTTTTTCTCTGGAAGACACACTAGGTCTTGTTCTCCACGCTGAAATGCATGGTCTTCACTAGGTCTTATTATCAGGGTAGGGCTTATATTTAACAAATGCTTAGAAATCCTGCTAGGCCTTATTTTGGGGGATAGGTCTTATTTTCAGGGAAACATGGTTAAGTGCTAGATTTTTTTTTTGAGACAGAGCCTCAAGCTGTCCCCTTGGGTAGAATGCCGTGGCATCACAACTCACAGCAACCTCCAACTCCTGGGCTAAAGTGAGTCTCTTGCCTCAGCCTCCCAAGTAGCTGGGACCACAGGCGCCC